TCGATGCCGCGAACGCAATTGCATTGAGGAAAAATTCGATTTTGTCTACTGAAGTTTAATTTCTTTCTAAATTATTGAGCATGGTAAGTTCTACTTCAAATTTATTTTCAAAAATAGAACAGTCAGCACGGGAGTTATTCCATTTTGTTGCTGGGTGGATGACAAAGGAGAAGTATTTGATTTGAATTTCTACATTAATTGTGAACTGATCTGAACCTAATGTCTCTAAATGTACTGAGCAAGCTAGACATTTGATATGGTTACTCGTATCAGCCTCCATTGACTTTATTAGTCACGCTATGTTCTTGCTCTATGATGTTTTCTCAAAATTTTCGGTTGATTTCATTTCTTTCATGTAAGTGAAGACCTTAGGGCAACAACGGTACATGCCGCAAAAGTAAGTTTTTGAGAAAATCAATTATAAAGGTTTTAATCAAATCCTGAAATACCAAATATAGATTAAAAATGCAGTAAATGGTGTTATATGAAAACGGTATATATAATTTTCGTGAAACGCTAAGTTAATTTTAATAAATTCGTTTTTGTAGACAAAAAAACAATAAAATTTCGAAAAAATGTGGCTTAATCCTTTATTACAAAAAAAATTTATGAATATAAAAAATTGTAAAATAGGTCTCATAATATAATATTAAAAGTTATACATTGTATTAACGGGAAAAAACATATTAAATTGCTTTTCTACACTTAGGATTATTTTATAATCACTTTAATTTTTATCCTCCAGATCGCTAAAGTCATCCAAATGTTCTGTCTCATTATCTGTTCCCATATTTTAAACAACATAAACGTTCCTATGGTAACTCTGGTATAATAAATAGGTGGTATATATCGAAGAAGAATCGACAGATTAGATATTTTGCCTGGTTCCATCTCCGAAGAAGGGGCTTTCTCCGGCGTGTAAAGAAAACCTTTATCAAGCAAACCGTTTTCGTTTCAGTAGCAGCAGAAAATTTATTTGTCTGCAAACAATATAGTGTTGGGACTAACATAAGAGTTTCGTAATCATTTTGAAGATAGTAAGGGAATAAGCCACAACTTGAGGTTAAATCGACATTATAAAGTACAAAGCAAGGGTGATTTAACTTTTTTAGTAATATTACGAAAGTAGTAGGTAGTTATGGTATTTTAGCATTAGGAAATTATATTAACATTGTTTAATACAAATATAAAAAAAGTAAGCCAAAATAATTTTAGTTAAAAAGGTGACAAGCCACAAATTTTAAATATTCACCTGTGGTTCACTACCTGAAAAGTGTTCACTATCACTATTATTTTCAATATAGTATTTGTCTTTAACACTATCATTAGAGTCAAAATATGAATCAGAATCACTTTCAGAATCCTAATAATAAAACGAATTTTGTGGAGCTGTTCAACTACTTGAAGCGACGATTATAAAAATATGGTGGCTAGTACCATTTTTACACTTAAAATGGTTGATTTCGGTATAAAACGAACAAGGATATTTGTAACTAGTGAAGTCATCTATGAAGTAAAAGTTGTAGTTTTTATTTTGTAGATAGATAGGAACCTAATTATTTGAAAAATGAATATAACTCATTTTTAGTAACATTGGGGCTTATACCGTTGTTGCTTTAAGGTCTTCAATTGTTTACATCATTATCTATTTTACTTTTGTTGACATCTGAAATGGTAAAATTTTTCTGCTGATGTTTTTTCTCTATTCGTTTTAGCCGAACATGCATTGGCGACTAAAGGGTAGTGATTAGCTCCAATATCTGATCCAAGTTATGTAGTACTCTACTGGAAGAAAAAGGTAGGTATTTAAAAAACAACTCAATTGGAGTTACTACTCCTCATAGGTTTGTTAGCCACTCAGATTATTTGATTACTGGCATTCCGAGAGAAGACTAGGAGGGTTCAGGAATTATTAAACCACTTGCATCATTATTGTAGCACAAAATCCAGAGAAGCTCATTTGCCTTTTGGCAGCAAAGTTGCTGTGGGATGCACTATTGAGGTATGTAAAATAAAGCCTATTGGTTGCTTATATTCTGTTCTTGAAGTCCAATTGTAGTAATGGGCAAAAGAAATAATAGGGCATCTGCTTAAATGCCTTCAGTGGAGGTGACAGATCAACAAACAACCTCACAAGAAGTGGAGACAACTTGCATGATTTTTTATCTGACTAATTAGGCACCACGAGCTTACTTGGGATTTGTAGGATTGGGCAGACTGGCTGCAGAAAATCCATAAAGACAGATTTCAATACACTTTTCGAGCGGCAACAGCAGCATTCGTCCGTACATTTAATCACTTATTTGAAATATTGTGATTTACGGATGTGAGTGGCTGAGTACTATACCATGCCTGCAAGCTATTTTTAGGCTTTCTAAACTTTTACGTTATTTTTGTCAAATTTTGATGACATTACAGTATGAATTCAATTTAACAATTCTGACTGGGGCAACATGATTTTGTGTCTTACAGACAACAAAACAAAATAAAAAGGACGTATATACAATAAAGGTTTATATAGGAAACTAATCCTTATCCTAAAAATATCAGGACTCGATAGTAAGAATATAAGACTGATCTCAAACTTATATCTCCAATAAAACTCTAATCCAGTACGATTAGAAAATGAATTGTCCGAAATCTTCACAATCGAAAAAAAAGTTAGACAGGGATGCATATGGTTATTATTATTATCCCGGTTTTTAATAGCGTTCTCCGCCTTCCGGTTCCCAGTTTTCAGCTAAGTCGGTCATTCCATTCGCCAGGGTGAAGGTTTCTTTCCGACATTGCCTTCTGAATACCGCCCAGCCAGGATTGTTTTGGCCTTTCTCTCTTCCTTCTTTTCCTTGGCGTCCATTTTAAGATTTGGTTTGGCAGCCTGTCGTCGTCCATTCTTTTCATGATGATGCATATTGTCACCGGCACTATTTAACACATACTCTGAAAACATCTTTAGAAAGGCCTTGGGCGAATCAAAAGATGAGATTGCTGTAAATGACCAACTTATAAACAACACTAGATATGCAGACGATGCAGTGCTGCTGGCAGATAGTGCGCAGAGGCTCCAAAGGATAATGGATAATGTTGTAAAAGCATGTAACAAATACGGTCTAAAACTTAATTGCAAGAAGACAAAAATAAGGATCATTAGTAAGAACACCGACATAAACGCCCAAATTACACTTAACGAGACACCATTAGAAACAGTGGAAAAAATATGCTATTTGGGCTGCAATATTAAGGATACTTGGGATCACAGCTACGAAATAAAAACTGGTATTGAAAAAGCCAAAAGCTCTTTCAACGGCCTTAGGAAGATTATCTGCAACTTATCTTTAAGTATCAATATACGCATAAGAAAGAATACTTAGATGTTACGTATTTAGTGTCTTCCTCTATGGAGTATAGAGGATTCCCCCAAACCGACGCGAAACTTTCGCAGCGGAATCGCGGCGAATCGTAAGGCACGGCGACTTAATGCATGTGTTCAGACAAGTTCGGACGGAAACCGGAACGGTCGCGGCAGAACAGCGTTGACGTTTCATGAAACGCTGCATGCACGGTTTTTTCCGCTGCAGTTATAGCAAGTTATAGTTTCGCGTGAATTATTAAAATGGCTGTTACAGAAAAACTAATTGAAATTGTGAAACAATATCCTATAATTTATGATTTAAGTGACGAAGATTATAAAAATATAAGAAAAAAGGATAAAGTCTGCGATAATATAGGGTCATTTCTAGGAGAAAATGGTAAGTTTTCATTATATATTATATATAATGAATTTAATAGTGCTCCGCCTGCGAATGTTCCGCAACGGTTTCGCGTCGCAAAAGTTTCGCGTCGGTGTGGGGAATCCTTAAAGCTGGAGCCTTACAGAAGATGCCATAAAACGATTGGAGGCATTTGAAATGTGGTGCTACCGGCGTATGTTGAGGGTCACATATATACATCACACAAATAATATAACTAACTATTCTCCGGAGGCTAAGAAAATACAACGAAATTATTAACACCATAAAAAACAGAAAGGCTTATTTCGGCCACATTATGCGTAATGATAAATATCAACTTCTACAGTTGGTGCTACAGGGCAAGATTGATGAAAAGAGAGGCCCTGGACATAGACGTATATCCTGGCTGGCCAATCTTAGGAAATGGACTGGTCTAACGTCAACTGATCTATTTCAAGCTGCTGTGAATAGAATAAGATGGGTCAATGTAGTCGCCAACATCTCTAGAAGATAGGCACATTTAGAAGAAAATATAGTCAAAGAATTCCCCGTTAAACACAAGAAAGGAACAAAATAACAATATGTACGATACAATCGAGATTCTTCATAAAACATAAACGAAAAGGATTGCCGACTTAAGAGATTATAATTCCATAATTTTTATATGAGCAAAAATCAAAGTTACGTAACACATTATACGAACCCCTCCTAGCCCTATAATACACCGTAACATTTTTCAAAACTCCCTCCCCTAATTGCGTTACGTAATCGTTGAACGACCCTAAAAAGCTGCCAAAAATTACTGTTTTTGTGGGAGATTCGAAAAAACTAAAACCATTTTGAAAGTTATTTTGACATATGTGGTTTTGAACTATGCAAAATTTTTATTCATGAAAAATGTTTTCACAACTCAATAACAAAAAAGATTTGCATATGGTTCCAACTTAATTAGACTGTATCTTATCAACTTAATTAAACTGTATATATACATAAACAATACAATCAAATTAAAATCAGTTATTAATAAGAAAATAGACCATAATTTTTTGAGATGCTGATTGTAACAACATTAAGTCCTAAACAGCATACAAATATATCAAACCTTGATTTGACATATCAGACCGCCCGGTATAATTATCGTGTCCCGTACCGTCTCCACCCAAACAACCCCATCCGCTCTCTGCCCCACAAATTGATTAGGGTAGTTGATAAAAGGGGGGCCAGATCTCGCGCCGCCTCCACTAGTAGCGGCACTTGCTTTAGCGAAAGATGTACAACGGCAGTAACACCGGAGGAGGAAAAAAACCGCGACCTACCACGGGATACCTAGTGAGACCTCGACTTGGTGCACTCAGGTCTATATACTCCAATCGGCCGTTCTCAGCGATGTCGCCTGACAAGAGGAAAAAACTAAAGTAAGTATAATGATAATGCTAATTTCAGATAGCTATCTTTTAAAATTTACAGTTTTTATTTTAACATCATCATCATCGCTCATTTTCCTTTTATCAATGTGCACTACTAACATGAATATCCTAATACGAAGATTAGTTAATAGTATAAATGATCCATCAAAATGTTTATTAATACATAGTTGAGTGTTAGTTGTAGTGTTATACTCTATTTGGAAATTTATCATAGTAGTTTTATGATACAAGATTACAACGGTATTACAAATATACAAAACAACGTAGAAATGAGCAGAGCCTTAAGGATTTAAGCCAGAATTGCAAGCCTTATAGACAAATGAAAAATGTCAAAAAGCATAGACATTAACTATACAGAGTGGCCCAAAAGTCTGGAAACGGCCAATTATCTCGTAAATTGCTACTCATAATTGTACAAAATTTGAGGTACACCTATTTTGGAATACGGAGATTCCATATTTAATATTTGCAATGTTGCCAGATTTTCCGTTTCTCTTATATTATTAGTAACTTTGGTTTTTTTTATAGTTTATTTTTATGAACGAGAGAGTAATTAGCATAATTTTAACTGGTACCTACCGACCACTCAATGGGCGTGCTCAAGATTAATTGAAAAATTACTTTGAATAATTGTAAAAAATAAATTAATTATTTCAGTGTTATAAAGTGTTATGTGTATGTAAACAAAAGTCACTCTTTTATCACACACTATATTAGAACGACTGGCCTATATTAAAAAGGGTTTTAAAAAAATTCACATTTTTTTTAATTTTTAAAAATTACAAAAGAGAAAAAGAGTTTTTAAAACCGTCTAAGGTATGTTAAAATAGATGAATAAAAATATTAATATAAAACTTACAGCTACTTGTTACAAATCCAAATCAGATTCAGAAGATGAACTTTCAGAACCAAGATTTATAATAACTGGCTCGATCATTTTATCAGTAATATTGTCCAGCTTCCACATTTTTTCCTCTTCTTTAATAGTGTGATTTACTGCCTTTTCCCAGTTTTCAGGTTTTACATTATTTACGGCCTCCAAAAACAACTGTTTAACATCATGAATTTTAAAAGTGGTATTTTTTCTTGAAACTTCACTCTTTATCTGTGCCCATACCAGTTCAATCGGGTTTAATTCACAATGATATGGTGGGGATCTAAGTACTGTCATTCCACGATTTTTGGCAATTTCATCAATTTCGTATTTTTTAAATTTTTCTTTATGAAGGGCACACAACGAATAAAGTTCCTTTCTTATAGATCCGGGATGGTACGTAATATTTTTTGAACTCAGCCAATTCTGCAAGTCTTTTTTTAACCACTTGGTTGTGGGCAGTCCTTCTATAAGTCTGGAGTGATAACTTGCATTATCCATTACTATTACACAGTTCTTAGGAAGAAGATCTATCATTTGTTCGAACCATTCTTGAAAGACATCAGCGTTCATGTCTTCATGGTAGTCACCGGTACGAGTTGATTCAAAAGTTAATAAACCACCTTCAACAAAACCGTCTGAACTGCCAATGTGTACTATTATCAGCCTGCGTCCCTTTCCTGATGGTGGGTTTAAACCAGTAGATAACTTATTTACAAAAGCGTTGCCTTTGACTTGTAACAGTTTCATCCTGCCAAAATTTATTTGGTGTATGACCCTCGTTGATCCATGTTTCATCAAGATAAAATATTTTTTCTTTTTTGGTTTTTCATTTCCTTTATGGTTCTTAGAAAATGTCTTCTCCATATGACAATATCGCTTCTTTCTAATAAAATAGACTTTCTGGGATTTTTTTCCAGCGGAAGCCTATTTCTTTTAAAAGTTTCCATAACGTACTTCGACTCATTTTGGGTAATCCTTATCATCTCGAACTGAGACAAGAACTTTATCCAATGTTGGAAATTCTTGTCTAAAGAAGAATTCATGCACTTTCCGTCGAAGTCCTTCTTTAAAATGATATTCTATTTGAAATTTTGGTTTCCCTGGAGCATTACGTGGCATTTGAAAACTACCACATTTCTCTTCTTTAATAACTCTGTAAATCGTAGATTTCCCAACACCAAGTGTATGCTAACTAATCACGGTTCATCAACACTTTCACATAAACGTTTGTCTGTAATGATTTAAAACATTAATATTAATGTTTTTTCATTAACGTTAAAGACCAATTTTTCGGCGTTTACACGGCACTTCCAAATTTTCCATAACACTAGTATACACAATAAACTGCACCTTGCAACTGAAGTACCTACTTTTAGTGAACTGTTAAGAATTTTGAATACGCCACTTGGACCTTCCTACAAAATGGAAAAACCCACTATCACATTTTCAGTGGAATAAGTTTAGAAGGTAATTATCTAGTCAATTACTGTCGCAGATTCCTGGAATTAAAGAATTAAATGTTTGATTGTTGAAACCCTTACTTCGTGGAATGCACTCATTTCAGATAAAATAAAACGTTTTATTTTATCTAAAGAATTAAACTTTATTTTGCAAATAGGTAGGTACTTATTAAACTTTTATTGGTTATATATAACCAATAACATAAACATCTTACATTTCTTGCAAATTCATTAGTAACTGTTAACCTCCATCACTCCGACACTGGCAACCTTATTTAGGGATTAGTAACCCTCACAACTATTGTATTCTATTCTGCTCCAACCTTTATACCTGGTGGTCATACTCAATTTAAAATTGTTTTCCTATATACTTCTGTAAACTTGTTGACAAATATCTCTTTTTCATTGAGTCACCCGTATCAACAGTTTAGGGATTTGCATACATAATTTATTGTTTTATTACTCTCTCATACATAAAAATACACTATAAATACATCATCCTCTATATTTAGTCAATAATGGAATCTCCTATTCAATACGAGTTCAACCATATGTAACACTTATGATTTTTATGTAGTATGAAAGGTCTTAAATACATAAAAGCACAAGTCTAGGCAACGCCTAATTGTTTCCAATAATTTTTTAATACTAATTATTTTCAACTACATGAAAACGTAACAATTGATAGATTAGGAACATTTTTTAACAATAGATACGTTATTAAGTGTTCAAAATGTGCTCAATTTATGAGTTGACAGTACCCTAATCGATGGTAGAATGCGTCTTTCACATTTCTCCATGATGGTCTAGAAACAATTCGAGATTCATTGATAATTCGTTTGCCTTAGCGCTGCAAGACTTGCTGGTTAAGTTTTGTAAACTGAATTTTTCAAGTATCCTAATAAAAATAATCTTCATGATTGAAATCGGTGTGAACGTGAAGGCCATTCAATTCTACCTTGTCTACAAATTATCGTCCGGGAAATATCTCCTCTAAAAAACGCAGAACATTTACACCAACTGTCTGACGTTAAATTTATTTCGATAAATAATGTCCAAATTGACTGAGTACCTACTATACCTGACGATACATTTAATTTTTGTGGTCTTTGAGTATGGAATTTCACGCATTCAGTTGTGAATTTGCGTCACTCCAGTACCTTAAATTCGTGTCGATTTACACTTCCACACAGTGTAAAGATTGCTTCATCGGAAAACATATTCCGTTAACGAAATTTTAATAATTTTCAATTTTATCCATCATTACCTCAGTAAACTCTAATCTAAGATCGAAGTCATCTTCACTTAATTCTTGCAATAAGTTTATTTTGTATGGTTTTAAACTTATTTTTTACGTAATATACGTAAGACTGAAGAACGACCTACATCATGTACTTGTGCAACCCTGCCTGAGGATGTATGTGGATCTTCAACAAAACTTTTCTCTTTCCATCTATCTTTACCCTTCTTCAGATTTCTCAAATCGCTTTACAGTTTTTTGTACCGTCGCCTTATGAATAGGAGAACGGTTAGAGAACGGCATTTTAGAGAAGCAATTTAAATTGCAGAACTTTTCGAAAACACAACTACTGTCAGTTTTTCGTTTATAATGTAAATGGTGAACAATGTCAATATCACAGTATTCTACATTAAATATTTAAATTTATTAAAATCTACATAATTGGCACTGTTTTATGTATTTAACACCTTCCAGACTACATACAATCATAAGTGTTACATATTTTTGAACTCGTATTGAATAGTTGAACTCGTATGAAATTCACACTGAATGCGTGAAACCATACCAGACCACAAAAATTAAATGTATGATCAGATATAGTAGGTAACTTAGTCAATTGGGTCATTTTTTATCGAAGGAAATTTAACGTCAGATAGTTGGTGTAAATGTTCGGCGTTATTTAGATGAGATATTTCCGTACGATAAATTGGTAGACAAGGTAGAATTGAATGGTGAATATGTTTTTCTGACGAAGCAACTTTTACACTGTGTGGAAGTGTAAATCGACACAATTTAAGGTACTGGTATGACGTAAATTCACACTGAAGACTGAATGCTTGAAAACCATACTCAAAGACCACAAAAATTAAATGTATGGTCAGTTATAGTAGGTACTTAGTCAATTCGGTCATTTTTTATCGAAAGAAATTTAACGTCAGATAGTTGGTGTAATGTTCGGCGTTATTTAGATGAGATATTTTCCGTACTTATCGTACGGATTATTGGTAGACAAGGTAGAATTGAATGGCCTCCACGTTTACCCGATTTCAATCCTAAAGATTATTTTTATTAGGGATACTTGAAAAATTCAGTTTACAAACTTAACCAGCCAAGTCTTGAGCAAAGGCAACGAATTATCGATTAATCTCAAATAATTTCGAGACAATCATGGAGAAAAATGTGGTATACGCATTCTACCATCGATTAGGTACTGTCAACTCACAAATTGAGCACATTTTGAACACTTAATAACGTAACTAGTTGTTAAAAAATGGTCTAATCTATCAATTGTTGAAAAGTAGTTGAAACTTGTAGTTGAAAATAATTAGTATCAAAAAATTTATTGAAACAATTAGGCGTTGGCAGACTTTTGTTTTATGTATTTAAGACCTTCCAGGCTGAAAAAAATCAT